TAAACCTATATAAACCCACAAAAGGTAGGTCATAGTTCTCTACCATACTCAATCCTGAATGGTTCTTTATCTCCTAGACACAATCTATTTTTTATATCTACAATTTATTTATATATATGAGTTATTTTATATATGTTTTCCTATATTTTATATATATGATCTCGCATATATTCACATATATATAAAAAACCACAAAGGAGAGCACATATTTTCAACCTTGAATGGGTCTTTATTTTACTATAATAATCCTATCCTGCCCTCCCTTAAAAAAATGACATCTTTGTAAGGACACACAGCCATTTCTATGCTATTGGGACAGAGGAGAAGTTATTAAGAAAGAGAGCATCAGAAATTATCCTATAAAGCCAACGCTGTGGATTTTAACCCTTTCCACCCTGCCAGGGCTGAGTGGGTGTATTTATGTATTCCAAGTGTTTCTGTTCTCTGTATCATCGACTATGACCACAGGTCTGCATAAAAATGCCAAGCAATTTTTAGCACAAGCCTAGCATGGCTAGGTGCCATCCTCTTCATATGGCATGAAACCCTTTCTAATAGTCCTCACTGTTCTACCTCCTCTCTCCTGCTCCAAGAAACCTCACCATGAATGTAAACCTTCAAGTCTTTCCATTGACTGTAATGAAAGGCTGGTTTAGCAGCAAAAAGTATGTGGGGGACACCAGTACTCAGGTTCCAGGAGAGGCTGGGAGACTGGCACAGGAGGGAATAGGGAAGCTATTTCAAGTGGTAGTGCACCCATAAATAAATAAATACTGACATATCATGCCAGGATCTGTGCTGTCCTTGGAAAGGGCAGGCAGGGAACATAGGGCACATTCACAAGATCACAGGGATGATTTAGATGAGAAGATTAAGTGTTGTATATACCTTTTTTATACATATAGATTGGTTTTTCTGGGACTAAACCTGAAAATGTTTGTACACAGGAGGACATTTGTCTATTTGAGTAGGATTTTATGGGCATGTTTGCAGGATTATAGGCATTATCAGTTGCCTGACAGCATGATTTTCCTGGCTACAGAAAGCCATGCCTAAGTCACCAACTACAGCAACCAGATGAGACTCCAGCCTGCAGTGACCACCTCCTGCTGACTCCTGGGTGGGCAGTAAGGAGAGCCCTCCCATCAGAAGGTCCCAACACATGTTGCTACAGGCATCCATGAGAGCCAGCTCTGCTGATGCCAGAGAATAAGGGATCTGAGTTGCTCCTTCCCTCCTGGATGGAAAATGCTATATTGAGCATCTACATCTGTCCTAGGTATAGTCATGGGTATGGCACTGTGCCTGCAAAACACTGGCACCAGGAAGCAGCTTGACACATGGATGAAGTTCCAAGTGAAATGAAAGGCTTGAACTTCATTACCGGCAGGACCTGACATTTAAACAGGATTTTAAAACAGGATTTAGGCTTGATTTTCAGATCAAGTACTTACATCCAAAACTGAGCTTCAAAAAGGTCTCCTCGGCCACCTGGCCCTGCAGATTCCAACATTTTCTAACACTCTCCTTCTTCAACCTGAAACCACAACATCTACACTCCTGCTCTGCACATCCAGGAACCACCAAACAGTTCCCACCTGCCAAAGAGCCTTAAAGGCAGAAACAGCATGATACAGGTCTCTACACCAAGATCTGCAGAGGCATCTGGAGAATTCTCAACAAACCTATGCCCAGAACAAGGCTGTGAGCTTTGTCTTTAAAGCACCTGGGAAAAAAAACCACTCAGCAGCTCCTCCATGGTAGCCTGATGGCCAGAGCTTCTCAGAGCTAGTCCAAGTCTCTGGTTGCTTTAAACAGGTCTAAGCCCATGTGTGGCCACAGAGACATCTGTTTAGCACAAACTAGAGATTGTTCCGGATGGGGACATGTCAGAAAGGAATACAAGGGTCCCTGTGGCCAAGACAACAACCCAGAAGTGAAATCCTGCCTCTGTGACCCATCAGTTAAAACATTCACCTCAGAGCAGGAGGTTCTGGATCTTGGCTTCACATCCTGATGGAATTTCAACAACCTGACATAAAATGCACATGCAGGAACTGCCACTATATCCTGGCTTAACTCAAGCCACAAGTTCAATGCAAAGCAAAGCTCTCACAGTCCTGAGCAGGTCCCTGTGATGGAGACACACATTACCTCTGCATCCTGGACATCCTGTGGAGCTCCATGTCATCGCTGCCGCGGAAGCCTTTGGCAAAGGGATTGTTCTCAATCTTTAACTGGGTGATCTGAAAGGGAGGAAATGCAGTGGGTTCAGTGCAAGTCCAAGGCATGGCCTGGGAGAGAGGGGATATTGGTTATTAACCCCAAGCCAGTAGGGATGTGGGGAAAACACAGCTTGCAGGAACTCAAGTCATTCTTCAGCTCAGGCATTGACCACTCCAGATGGGCCTTCCTCTAGATCACTCCACAGGAAAAATCTCTCCTGTCAACAACCTCTCACTGCTCTCAGTGTTATCCCCTAAGTAACACACACAGCACACATATATACATCAGTTTCTCTCAGGAGGAAATCTGTTTTCTTACAGCTCTTACTTTCTTCTTGCTGTTCAACAGGAAGGGCTTCCCTGACCAGAGAATACAGCTCTTACTTTCTTCTTGCTGTTCAATAGGAAGGGCTTCCCTGACCAGAGAATGAGGGATGGAATTCATGTTGTCTGAACAAATCCCACAGACACCAACAGGTATTTTCTCATCCCTGTGCAGCCATGACCAAAACCTGACCTCTCAGACCAGTGAAGCTCACTCTTTCTGTGTTTCAGACAGCTAAACGTGCTCTGGATGCTCTGCATGTGACATCCTGCCCCAGCCAGCCCTACACCTGTAAGCACTTCTTGGACTAACTACCTAAAGCACTTGGAGGAGAACTTCTACTCTGACCATCAAGTCCTGGAGGATTATTTGTCTCCCCAAAAAAGGAATGAAGAGGGTCTAGTTTGCTCATTTAGTTTACTACCTTCAGCATTTAAAGTTTGCTGGGATGAATCCCCTCAGATTCAATTTTGGTCCTCTTAAAATATCTAAGTTACACATTTAAAGCAGGTGCTGTACAGAACATACCCTGACCCAAAGGAACTGTGTTGCTCAGAGAGGTGCAATCCCCTCGTTCACATACTTGTCCTGAGGGCTATAGGTGAGCAGGTTTTCTCAAGCCAGGGGTTGTCTTTTAAGCAAATATTGATTGTGGACCAGCAACACCTTCAATTGCTCTGTTTGTAGAAGATCCATTGCACAAATTCACTCCACCATCCCAAATTTGATACAAATGCTTTGGTGCCTTTGCTGAGCAGGACCAAGTCTGCATCAGGTGTGATCTAGCTGCAACACCCTAATACTCAGGCAAAGAGGCAACAGTTCCCCTTCTTGTCTTTCTCCATAACTGCCTGGCAGTACAAGCCCTCAGGCAGGAGTCAGGAGAGCCACTTGCCTCGGAGGAGAGACAACTCTGTGTTTGCCACCGGAGGAACTTCACACACTCACCATGTTTTATGGAAACAGTGTCCTTCCTTCCTATTGAAAGTTGGCCAACGGGAAGGAAAGAGCTCGAGATTGGTGGCAGGAGAACAGAGAGAGGTTCATGTTCACCAAGTCAACCACAAACAACTGCACCCCATCTCTTTGCCAAAATTCAATGAGGAAAATCTGGCTCAGCTAGTGTCAATAACAAACCTTGCCAGGTGTCTGCACAACAACTATTTTGCTGTTTTCTTGTCTTATAGCATATTTTTTTCCAAAGATCATTTGTTTATTTGCCATTTTTGTCTAATTCAACCCCAAATCTCTGACAAAGACCCCATCATCACTTGTCCCCACAGGCATTCCTATTAAATCAGGACCATATTTAGCACACAAACAGGCCTTTGCACTTTTTTTGGTCCCACATTTCAGATTTCAAAGAGAATGGTAAACAACCAATCTCTTTGGGTCAATTTGCCATTTGAGCCATTCTCTAGCAATAAACCAGAGGCACATTTTATAATTAAAAGCCCTGAATAATTACACAACCAGCTGTGTATTTTACAAAGAAACTGCCTATCAGTTTCCACTAGCAAAGTGGTGACACTTCCATAATGAATAATAGGCATTATTCAACTTTTTGAATGTTTCTAGGCAATTTGCATCCTGAAGCACAGTAAATGTAGGAGTTGTCCTCCCTTGCTGAACCCAATGGCAATATTTGCTTGCATAAGTGAAGTCCTTCACTGAGCAAGGATTTACAGGATTGGCACCAGCACACAAATGTACAAAGGGCCAGATTCATCCCAACCTAACCGAAGGCATTTTAACCAAGGCGCCTGCA